CTGTCACAATGGAGTCCTTTTTCTGGCTTCGGCTCCTAGCATTATTGTTACAATCTGTCTGCAAGGTACTGTAGATGATCTATATTGGGATGCAATCTTATTTGAAATGTTATTTGTTGTTTTAATATGTATTAAGGCCATGTCCAACCGCCACAGGCGAAAAAAAAAGACAACGAACACGACAGAAAACGAAGCAGCAACACGACGTTGTCAAGTCGGCGCGTTTTTCTATAATGGACAAATGTCGGGCGCGAATATTCTCATATTAAACTGCGGCATAACATCATTCTATATGAACGTGTTGAGTTTTGCCTGTCGCTTTTGTTGTGTCGAGTGTTTGTGGTCGCGCGCGCGCCCCCGCCCACCGCAGGACGAGCTCGTAGCGTCGAGGCGGGGGGCGTCGTGTGTCCCCGGTGTGAACCATGCCTTCAAGAATTTATGAGGATAAAAAATCGAAGATAACATCATTGTATAGGATATCATTAGTAAACTTGATTGAGAGGAATAATATATGTGGATGGATGCTGCTATGGATATGATTGCTGGAATGATTCTATGGGAAATAAGTATTGGGTTTGTTTTATAAAAATTTTCTGATATCAACATTTATTGATTTATGGATCTAAATAATGTCGTATGTAATTACCAACAGACCAATGTATACAAAGATAATCTAGAGGATTATTATATTATCTCATGAGATAGATTGAAGATACAGATAATTATGTACACCTAGTATATCAATTTATGGCTTTGTACAGGACTTGTGATTGTGTGTCGTGTGTGCCGTGTTGTGTGTGTGTTGTGTGTGTGTGGTGTGTGGTGTGTGTTGGTGTGTGTGTGTGTGGTGTGTGTGTGTAAATGTGTGAGTGTGGTGTGTGTGCTGTGCTGGTGTGTCAAAGTGTGTGTGTACTTGTGTGTGGTGTGCGCGCGCGCTGTGCATGCTGGTGTGTGTATGTGAGTGTACGGTGTGTGCTCGTTTGTGGACGCGATTGGTGGTATTTTGTGGGGTCCCACCGAACCTCCCTTTGGAACAACCTGGCTACAGGGCTACAACAATCATGCTGGGGAAATAAGGAAAGTGGTGAGACGGTCTGTGCGTCCGCCTCCCCAGGTTCTCGTCTAGCATGTGAGAGGTAGTGTCCCCTTAATGGAGCCTCGCGGTTCACGTCGATGGATAACACGGAACACAGAATTATAAAAGCTACCCGTGCATTCTATTACACAACAGAATATACGTACAGCGTGACTAGACTTCACAGTCTAAACAACAGCACTTCACGATACTAAACAGATGTCTACACGTTGTAACCGTCGCATCGCGTGACACGTAAAATGAATACAAGTCGTACCGTAAACGTAGGTTCGCGAAGAAGCTCGGCAAGGTGATGGCGGAAGGTGGAAAGCAAGGCGTATAGAAGGGATAGGTGTAGGAAGCCGGAGCTCGGAGAAGCTGGACTGCACGGTTTGAAGGATCAGGGCCGAGTCGGCTAGCTTCGGCTATGAGTCACCGATGCGGAGGACTAATAAGTTATTTACCGTGTTTAGTGTTATTGCTTCCACCGTGGCGAATCGATAGTTTGGATGCATGCGGGGGGGGGGGCTGCGCTGCTCTACAAAAGTACCGTATACGAGTTGTCACTTTAAACACCCGATACGAAGTACCGAGTAATACGATACCGTATACGCGTATAACCGTATAACCGTATACCGTATACGAGCTACCGTATACGCGGTACCGGGTATAAAAGTAACCGTATACGAGGCCTAGTGCTTCTAAAGTAGCGCATCCAACTTCAAATCATTATTTTCGCTTAATTGCGTCATAGATTTTTAAATTTCCATCACTATAAATGAAAGAGGTGATTTGAATCTTTTATTTCCATGCTACTTTTTTGAAAAACAAACTTCATAAAATGTTGCAAATTACCTCCGAATTTGTAAACAAACAGCGATATAGTATACTATTAGTATTACTTGTACTAGCTACCAGTACCAGTACCAACAACAAAATAACAATGAGCCTGTATGGGAAGATTTAGAATGTAATCAGGAGAAATCAAGTCTTAAATAACATAATAGTAGTAATTATCTTTCCATTATGAGGGCTATTGTTTCATGAAATGCACATTATCATCCAAATCATTATCATCTAATGTTTACGGTTCATCCGGGTACTTTCGGGAGTTTTTCCCTTATCAGTAATGGCGGACCATGCTCCATGCGATCACAGCGCTTAGTGTGCGAGCGGATTGCGTGTCCGCCCTCTAGTATATTAACAAACTGCATGCAGTGCTCCTTCCCACACTCAGGATAATACAGGTAGTACCTGTATTACCTGTACAGGTAATACAGGTAGAATTGAGCCAGAGCGAGAGCGCCATCTGTCGTGGAGTTTGGTATATTAATACAACTCTATGCACGTAGCCTCTATCCCCAGAGCGAGAGCGCCATCTGTCGTGGAGTTTGATTGAGCCTATGAGCGAGAGCGCCATCTGTCGTGGAGTTTGGGGCGCTGCATGCAGTTTGAGCGAGAGCGCCATCTGTCGTGGATTTTGTTGTTGTCTATGAATACTTGGGAAATTTAGCCAGTACCAGCGGCGATACTATATCATCCAAAATACTGTACGTGAATCGTGATCTACCGGTTACGCGGTTAATGACGACGGTTTGTCAGGTCTATATTTGTATTGCATTTGTATTGTCTGGAAACTAATCGTAAGGATAATGTTTTTGTGGCTTTTATTAGACAATTCACTCTATTTTATCGCATATCATAGTTTAATTAGGACTGTCTCTCGTGATTTGTATTAGTGCACTCAATAATGGATTAATGTCTATGATTCGATTGTGTAGCAACCTGCAATTTTAACTAAGGATGCAATGAGGGCTCAGGGATAGATCATAGAGAAGATGTCCAGTCTTATCTTATCAACTAACATCATCCTATCCAATCACCGTCCGTACTGGACATCATCTCTATCATTGAACCTGCATTGAGACCATAATTCTGCTGCCAGTGCCAGTGGCCCAGTGCCAGTGGTTATGACTTATGCACCAGTCAATTGAAACCCCGGCCCCGACCGCAGGGAAAAAGTGGGGAATTTAACACTTCCTTAGTGTTAAAAACAGCAATTTCTCCGCCCATCCCCATAAAGGGCAGGTAGTCTGTTAATAAAAGCCCCTATAACCGGCAAGGGCGCAACCACGTGTTGAAAGTTGGGGGGTCCGAAGCAGCCAATAGCAACGTGATCTGCGGGCGAGCGAATATCACGTATTGGTTCAATATCACGTATTTCAGTGTGTTGATGGAAGTGTTGCATAATTGTGATGTCAGGAATGACATTACTAGGATCATGTATACATAAAATACCAAAATGTTTTATTAATTAAATTAAGCTAGTAGTAAAGGTACACACAGACTGTGCTAACTGTGCGACACAGTTAGCATGATTAAGATAAAGAGGAAAATAATAATAATGAAAATAATAATGCAAAAAAATGCCTGACACGTGAAAACAGAGAACAGTGTTAGAAACCAAATGGGACCTTCCTTGAGTCACACTTTGCAACAAAATCCTTTGCAATTGCTTCAATATCGATTCCAGAACACGTGATAAAAAACAATCGCGTTGATTGGTTCAATTGTCTTTTCGCCGTCACGTCAGCCGGCAAAAGTCCAACTTGACTTTCGCCGTCGCCGTGAAACCAGGCCTGCGCCGTGCAGTGTCAGTGGAGACTGCGCCAGAAGATATCATAGATTAGAAGGTAAGGGTGAACAGGGACGCGCCGCGACGCGCCGCTTGTGTGGAGATGGGCCTATATTATGTGTGTATCTATAACACAGTTGGCTTGCGAACGCATGGTGAATATCGTGCTCGTTCCATGCACGTGAGATTGAATGTACTATGTAGGTCGAATCTAAATGATATTAACAAGGGTTCTATTTAGATATCTGAATCTGAATCACAGTTATCACACTGCACTTGACCACCTGGGGTTTTTATTTATTTTAACTTTCACGTGTGAAATATGGATGTTTCACGATAATAAACGCTTATCGGACTATTTTGGACCGCTCAGAAAATAAGGTCTTCCAGAAGTTGGGGAGGTCCACATAAAAGTCGGGGGGGTCGTGACCCCCCCGACCCCCCCAGTGGTTGCGCCCATTATAACCGGCGATCATTTCTCAGATTCCAAACAAATCTAAATTCTAATTCGTAAGTTCCAAGTAGGCCTAGACAATCGGCAGCCCGGATATCGCGCCAAAGCGCGAAAAACGCTGCGTAGCGGCACACTAACACAACTACGCTGCACTGATTGAATACCAATTTCAACGGGTCCACTATCTAGACGCAAAAGCGGCGCAATCGCCGAATTGAGCCGTTCTGGCCATTGCACGACGGGTTTGACCAGGCCTCGAATTAAGCGACGAGAGGGGCAAGGCAATTTTTGGGGGGCACGTGAGAAATTGCCTTGAATTTTCTCTAAAATGGATGGGCACCGAGGCAATTTTAAAAGGTATCAAGGCAACTCTCACAATTTGAGAAGGGCACCAAGGCCATTGTTATGGAAAACTTTGTGTCATCGTATGAATTCTACTAAAATTTCTCTAAATTTACTGCACTTAGCAAGCTACACACCGTACAGATCACTGGCCATTCTTGCGCGACGTCGTTTCCCGCGCTTTAAATCGCACGCGGGCCGAGTCCGGGCGTGCAGCATTTAAATATTCGTGTTCTACCACGCGCATACACAGGTGCACTATTTATTGATCGTCTACTGGCAGCGGTTGGCAGCAATACCACGTTATTGTTTTTGCCGCCGGGTAGACTGGTATCCGGCCTCACGCTCTGCTAGAGAATGTACACGATCTGCGACAAACAGTGCGGCCGCGAACCAGTCTAGCCAGAGGCAGAGGCACCGACGGCAATTACAGAAAAGGGCAAGGCAGGTCACTGCCGTCGGTCGGGTTGGATTTTCAGGGGCAGTACGGCGATTGATAGGGGCACCGCCGGCAAATGCCGTCGGTGCCGTCGGTTAATTCGAGCCCTGGGTTTGACTACCCAGGTAGCTAGACATTTCCTAGAAATGCTCGCAATTTTTGGTTCGCTACTCGGCGCGCTTTGTTTGCTGTAAAAAACGCGGTTCAACTTTGTTCTTTGTTTGTTTTTGTTGATCAGCGTAGTACATATGGCGTGCGATAGATGGCGCAACAAGGCTATATGCATAGCTAGACTGGTACCCGTTTGCCACCTTCACTCTGGCATATATATACGTCAGTGTAGCGTGTCGAACTGTCCACCGGGTACCAATCTATATGCATATAGCCTCGTATCCTGCAGCTCGGCCGGCTATAACCGGCTATAACCGGCCTAACCGCTAGACTCGTACCCCGTCGACAGTTGCACATGCTGTACACTAACTCACTTTAGTGTAGCGAAGGATACTTGCCCGAGTGGAGGTGGCGAACGGGTACCAGTCTAGCTATAACCCCCAAACTGCATCCAGCGCCAGTTCGCGATTATTTTTTGCGTTAACGCGTCAGCGCTCACTATGCGTATTGGGAATGCTTGCGTCACAGGTCAACAGAGATGGTGGTGGCCCCATAAACACACTTTACTCCACTACACAACAAATTGTGTTTACACAGGTCTTCTAACCCTAGCAAAGACCATTTCTTGGAGCTAGTAGTAGTACTAGCTCTAGTACTATACTATATAGTATTAGTACTAGTAGTAGTAGCTCTAGTACTATAGTAGTAACTAGTAGTACGAGTACTAGTAGTCTAGCAGTACTAGTAGACTAGTAATAATAGTACTAGTAGTAGTAGTGTAGGGTTGAATATATGCTCGTAGACGGTAGCTCGTAGATAGTAGACACAACGAGTGAAGTAAACGGCAAACAGTACTGATATAGATTTATTATAAGCACAGGTCAAACGATGTACACATACCCGTCAGCAATACGTCGGTGTCTCTCTCGAACTCACTCAAACCCTCCCTTTTATCCGTCTCTCTCGACCTTGCCACCGCGCGGCGGTCCTCGTCGAAGGCCGTTGAACCCCGTCCGTGCCGCCACCGCCTGTTATTATGGTTCTCCCTTAATGACATCTGTGGGACACGTACGGGGTGGCCTCGGTTACTGACCGCCTTGTGACAATGCTGATTTATTTAGGACCCCCAAGTATGTGGTTGGTGGTCAGCAGAGCTGTCCCCGGTCCATTTCGTTGATCACCTAGGCGGTGTGAGAAATAGTATTTGTCGGGAATCTCACGGTCCTACAGTAGTAGTAGTAGTAGTAGTGCTAGTACTTTGTATTGTGGATACAATTGTATCACCACAAGGATGTGTGCCACTACGACCTTTATTTGACCTTGACCTTGACCTTGACCTTGATCACATTTTCCTTCCGCTCTATAACTCGGCCCTTAATTGACCTAGCACTACCAAGCATCTTGGGAGAAGGTGCGCAGCGTACCAAAACCAGGTCACTATGACTTTTATTTGACCTTTACCTTGACTTTGATCATATTTCCCTTCCGCTCTATAACTCGGCTCCTAATTGACCTAGCGCTACCAAACTTGGTATACTTACACATCTTGGGGAGAATGTGTGTCGCGTACCAAAACCACGTCACTGCGGCTTTTATTTGACCTTGACCTTGACCTCGATCATATTTTCCTTCCGCTCTATAACTCGGCCCCTAATTGCCGTAGCGCTACCAAACTTGGTATACTCACACATCTTGGGGAGAATGTGTGTCGCGTACCAAAACCACGTCACTGCGGCTTTTATTTGACCTTGACCTTGACCTCGATCATATTTTCCTTCTGCTCTATAACTCGGCCCCTAATTGCCGTAGCGCGACCAAACTTGGTATACTTACACATCTTGGGGAGAAGGTGTGTCTTGTACCGAAACCAGGTCACTGCAACCTTTATTTGACATTGATCTTGACCTTGACCTTCATCATATTTCCCTTCCACTCTATAACTCCGCCCCTAATTGACCTAGCATGAGCAAACTTCATATACTTACACATCTTAGGGAGAAGGTGTGTCGCGTACCAAAACCCCTAAGGCAACCAATTTTAACATACTTGCACATCTCAGGCAGATGAGTTGTGTAACAAACCTTTCTTTGTGACTTATTTAACTTTACCTACCTTCTACGTCCTTACAGAGATATTTCATTCATACTAGATCACAGGGGATACATGTAGTTGGCGACAACTGCCCTTTCTAGTTGAATAATAAAATGAACATTAAACTGCTTTTATAAGTTGTATTTCATGGTTTAGTATAAGTGGTCAGTGCATCCATACAACTTTGTCGAATTCGGGAAAAGCGTATATTCCAGAGGATAGGTCCTTATAAATTTCTTAAAGCAGCTCTGTTCACAGAAATGCCACTTTTTGAGGTCATACTCATAGCCATCGCATGATCATATGACGTATTCTGGATCGAAATATGCTCAAAGTCTCCATGTAGTGTTTTATCACATTGAAAACAGTGAGGGCAAATTTTAATTGCATGAGATCTAATATAGTTTGCTGGAACTGAGTTTAGCACCCATTCAACCGAAGTTTTTTGTTGATCAGTGGCAGCAATCCGAATGGTGATATATGATGCAGAAACTCACAGCGTGTGGTAATGAATCGGTTTGCCTGATGTTTCTTGGGCACATCCCTTAAATAAACATGTGGACCAACCATGCAGGAGTTAGGTGTGTACCAGCACTACATTTCTGGCTTTCAAATTGCATATTAATCCATGCCAGCACTTTTGTAGGCATCCATAGGATTCCGAATTAAACAATTCTGTTTTAATACCTGTAGGTCACAGCTTTTGATGGTTATTTAATGTAATGTAATGTACGAATTTGATCGTTTTAACTTGAGGTATCAATTAAGACACATCTAAATTGTGAATATTGACACCGTGTATCTCAGCAGTTTGGGGTCTTTTGCATATTTTCGGAGCGTTAGGGCTGCATGCCACTGTAGACTAAGAGTATGGATTATCATGTCACATATCCCGTGTAGCATGTTGTAGTAGATCCTGACAATGAGAATATTGATGTCAAGTCAATGGCAAGAGATTGTACATTGCGTATCCTAGTCCTAGCTACTAGATTAGTGGTAGTGGACATTGTGGCACTTTATTGTGAGGCAAATGTATGTGAGTGATATTCATGCATTATTCTAAAAACATCACTAATCGTGCGCTGCTATTTCACACATTAAAACTATCAACAGTATTGGCACCGTACTAGAGGGTATTATCAGATCGTGGTATATAAACAGGAATTAATCATGTTATTTGGATAGAATATAATCATAATAATATTTATTGTTCAAGTATGGATAGTGCTCTTTTTCTATTAGCATGATTATATCTGGAGTGAATAATAATAGACGAGTATGACTCGCTCGAAACACAAGAAATTCAACATTTCCATGCCCAAATTAGATGATTTATTACGTGAAATCCAATAAAAGTGACGTCAGAACTAGTGCTGAACATCCAACTTGTCCTCACACTTTACTGTGTATCGATACCTCTTCTTATTATGTAGTTATAGCTTCGAACGTCAGACGTGGTTTAACGCACTGACATAGCCAAGCGGCCATCATTCCCACGCTGTAGCGCGAACAAGAGGCAGCTTGCTCTGAGACCATGTTGACGGGGTTCGGCAGGGATTTGCCACTCGCACAGACGTGCGTGTTTCCACATATGAAATTAATAGCCGGCTCTGAAAGCACTGTAGAAGGTCTTTTTTGTCGCTTGTCTGGAGCCAAATCTAAGTTGAGCTATGGTTTTGGCGGCATTTTGGAAAGATTTGCAATGTGATCTCGCGAGAATTCGCGAGTTGCAAATCCCTGCCGAGCTTCGCCAACAGGTGTCTCAGAGCAAGCTGCCTCTTGTTCGCGCTACAGCGTGGGAATGATGGCCGCTTGGCTATGTCAGTGCGTTAAACCACGTCTGACGTTCGAAGCTATAACTACATAATAAGAAGAGGTATCGATACACAGTAAAGTGTGAGGACAAGTTGGCTGTTCAGCGCTAGTTCTGACGTCACTTTTATTGGATTTCAGAATAAATCGTAGGTAAATTTGGGCATGGAAATGTTGAATTTCTTGTGTTTCGAGCGAGTCATACTCCTCTATTATTATTCACTCCTGATTATATGCATACTCTAGAACACATGTACAGTGGCGTATCCAGCATAGGGCGGACCGGCGTAGTCCCCCCCCCCTCCCCGTTTTTGCAAAAAAACAACAATAAAACAAAAAACAAAATTTTTTTTAGTAGCAGTGGGTCTTCAGGGGTAACGTCAGACTGAACACCCTCCTGCTTCTGTTGCTCCACAAGGACCTCCCTTTGCAAATGGATAAGGTGGTCAACATCTTCATCAGAAGGAAGCCTCGAAGGTTGCTATTGGCAAACCCCATGGGGGACGTTTAAGGTCCCGAACACACAATCATGACCTGAACAACAGGGTTGAGATAGTGTCATCAGACATCAGAATATGGCTTACAAAGACTCCAACTCTCCTGTTTTTGGCGGCAGATCTCCTGTTTTGGGGCCATTTTCCCAAAATCTCTCGTTCTCCTGCTTAAGCTGCATTTTCTCCCGCCCAAATAAAGAAAAAGTGTAATAACTATTTAAAAAAATAATAATTTGATCAAGGAAGTACAACCTAAAACACACTTCAGTTTGAACAAAAGGAATAAAGTGACAGAATTAAGGTCAGCAATATCTACAGATGCTATTTCACTTTGTTTCTTTAATAAAATTAATCAAACAAATGTGTAAAAAATAGCTTTATTTCAATACTAAAAAAAACCTTAAAATCCAGGAGCTTTCGGGGGCGCTGCCTCCTGGATCCCCACTCCCTTAGGCGGGCCCATGGACCCACCCGTAATAGGCAAGCGCCGCGATCCGTGCGCTCAGAGTGTGGTATCCAGTTTGCCAAGGGGTCCAGGCTGGAGAATCTCCAGTTTAGGTGATGCTTAGGGTTGGAGTCTCTGGGCCCACAGTATGCCTCAGATTGCAGGAAAATGGCTTAAATATTTCAAAATTTTCTGAGACCCCCCTACCACTCGTGTGCCTACAGCGCATGGGGCTGCTCGAGGCAGCCCAGGTACATTTTGCCCCCCCCCCCTGTTCATCAATTTCTGGATACGCCACTGCATGTATGGATTCATAGTATTAGCTGTAGTAATTTAGTCTGAGAATCAATCACACAATGTCCTATTCATTCAAAATAGTGATAGTCAAAGTGGGTTGAGAATATTTGTACTAGCGAAAGACTCATAACTCATGATATAATGAATAACTCATGAATAACTCATAGCGAAAGACTCATAGTATATATACATATAAGCACTTGTAGCTAAGCAATTACATACAGCAGTGGCATAAAATAACTAATCCTAAACCGAATATATGACGAGTCTATTATGATAATATTTTTACCTTCAACATACATGTTTCGAATTGTTGCTGATGGTGTTTTTAGTGGTGGTCAAGTTTGTATAATTGATTACTAGGTTTTCATAGAATTGGCCTTGTTTTCAGGTGACAACAAGCGATGCCTCGTAAGAAGGCCTTCAGTGGCAAGCAGAAGAAACGGCAGTTGCATGAAAAACGGGAAAAAAAGAAGTGCGAAGTTAGCGAGGATGGTAAGTGTGTGAAATGAAGGTGCTTAGCAGGTATACAATTACAAGGTAAGACTGACCTAAAATTTTGTTTATGGCTGTAATGGTATTGTAATGAAAGTATGTCAGGGCTCTTTGATAGCCTTTATCTGTACAGTATGCTTTTGCATTCTTAACAGCGAAATGAACCTTTGTCATCAATAATCCTATCACTAATTCTTAGCACTTTCTGAACCTTTACCATCTCTTTCTCTAGAAGTAACCCTCAGCTCTACTCACGCTTTACACTACCCATTGCCAGCCCATAACCCCAGCACATACCAGCGATGATCCCTACCCTGTAGGTTATTCACCATTTACCCGTTGTCAGCACATAACCGCAATGCACACCCTCAATACTTCCTACCCTGTAGCTTAATCACCCTTTACACTACTCATTGTCAGCCCATAACTCCAATGCACACCCTCAATACTTCCTACTCTGTAGAGCTCTTACTCACCTTCTACACTACCAGTTGTCAGCCCATAACCCCAGCACATACCTGCGATAGTCCCTACCCTGTAGCTTACTCACCCTTTACACTACCCGTTGTCAGCCCATAACCCCAGCACATACCCGCGATAGTCCCTACCCTGTAGCTTACTCACCTATCCTTGTAGCTTTACTCACCCTCTACACTACCCGCTGTCAGCCCATAACCCCAGCACATACCCGCGATAGTCCCTACCCTGTAGCTTACTCACCCTTACACTTACGCCGTGTCAGCCCATACCCAGCACATACCGCATGATAGTCCCTACCCTGTAGCATTACTTACCTTTTCACTGACCGCTGTCAGCCCATAACCCCGCACATACCCGCGATAGTCCCTACCTTGTAGCTTACTCACTTTTACACTACCCGTTGAAGCCATACCCAGCAACATACCGCCGACAGTCACTACGCCTGCTTAGCAAAATGAAATGAACATATCTGCTGAATTAAACATTCTTCCCACGCCTTGATGTGATGACAGCTGACCGGATGTGTGTCTGTCGTGGATTGCAGACAGCGACTACCCGCGGCCGCACACCGTGCCGGACCGCACGCGCCTCGACAGTATCCCCGACCACCAGAGCTCAGATGCCGGCGAGTCGGACACGGACACGAGCGAGACGCTGTCAATCACCGACGTGCGCAAGCTCAACCAGCAGCCTGACGACGAGCTGACGAGTAGGAAGAGATACGATGCAAACAGGTGGGCGCACGACAAAACATGCGCGAGCATGACGACAGATTATAGATGCAGGTACAATGCCGGGTAACAGGTGCTGGACACACGTACAGGTATGATAGGTATAGATATGGCAACAGATGCCAGGTACATGTGATGATACATGTGTGATAGGTATAGGTGCGGTAACAGATGACTGTGTCATGTGGATGATAGTGTCAGCGTGGTTCTCCCTACGTCTGCGCAACGGGGCCGCCGCGCGCCGGCCCGTTTGGGAAAAACGCCCCCCAGTTTGAATCGTTGCGCCCCGTTTGGAATTATCTCCGCCCGCTCTTAAATAATCCACCCACAATAAAAGTTGCCAGCGTGGATCGCACCGTCACGAATTTGCCGTCTCGACAGGGACAAATCCGGCACTCCGCGGTGTATTTTTATCCGTTTACACGATCGCATCTGCAGACAGTACACAAGTTACCTGTCACCTCACTGATACACCGTACTTCGGCTATTATATATATACAAGAACCCCATAATTACCCGTCTATGGTGTAGTGGCGATTTTACGCATTAATTAGTCGTACGTTTAAAATATACACCGCCCCGCACACAACCCTAGTTTTCCCTTTGCCCTCCCCCTAGTTTCCCCCCTCCCCCCTTCCCCTCCCCTCCCCTGTTTGAATTTCCATCCTGGGGGGAAACCCTGTACAGTGTAGGTGCCTGGTAACAGGTATGAACTGGTACATGTGATCGATAATGGTATAGGCATGGTAACAGATGTGGACTGGCTACATGTTAATGATAGGTGTACGGTATGGTACAAGATGGATGGCAATTGTGCATTGATACGTGTCAGGTGTTACGAGAACAGTATGATGGTAGCATGTGATTGAGCGGTGTAGTTTTATGTTCAACAGAATGACGTGATTGCATGTTGATGATTAGGTGTAGTGCAGGTAACGAGCTGACTGGTACATGGTGATGAATAGGTGTAGGTGCTCGGTAACGATGAGCTGGTACATGG